TGTGTAGGAGAATCAAAGAGTCTTAGTCTGAGAGCTAAGTCTATAACGACTCCGATTGGACTACGCCATTGATCTACACTTCTTACCTGCGACTACGACGCGTACTAGTCGATTACTGCTACCATATTCTATTTGGTTATAGTAGCCAAAATCACTTAGCTACTTCGTTCAAATATATCCCTTTCCGGGACATATCACATTATTGACGAGCGCGAACAATAGAAGAGTAAACAAAAAGACAGTAGATAATGATTGGCATTGCATTTAAAGCCGGAAGAGAAGGGCGAGAGAAGGAACTGCTAGCATAGAACTTACGGCTACATAAAGCCATTTCAACTCTAAAATGATGAGACCTTTCTGCCAATCTAGTACTGCGTTTAAATTCTTACCGTCTCGATAGCATAGATCAGCGGTTCCCAGTCGATTTGGAGCCATGCGCCACTATGGTATTTCTAAAATTCTGGCACCCCCCCGTAATATTTAATTCTTACATGTATGCCAATTACACGTGTACGTACATACACACAAAATATTTTTATGCATACATACTGTATATGCATCATATGTATAACACGCATTAACGTTAACCCTCTCATTCAGTCTCGAATTGCCCCCTTATTCTGTTGGTATAGTAAGCCGAAGGGTGCACATCCTATGCATACCCCACCAGAATATTACCATGCCCCACCGGTGGGTCATGCGCCTCACGTTGGGAATCATTGTCATAGAGGGAAATTTATCAGAACAATTATCATAAAATTATTTATAAGAAAAAAAGCACAGGATAGCTACGTTATGGCGATGGGTAAGGTGACTGAAGCGGAGATGCCAGGTCAGGACCAATAACATTGCACATTCTTCTTTTTATTTTGTCTAGAATCTCTAAATATATAGCAGAAGCACCGGAAATTATTATTATTATTATTATCATTATTATTAATAATAATAATAATAAATGCACCTGAAAATTCGCCCACACCTACGGAAAATAAACTGTAAGAAATTGATATGAACACCACCCAGATCCGGTTATAGGACCTGTAATATTTTTATGGGACTTTGAAAGACACACAGACAGAACAATCGAAGCTAATCTCCCTGACATCGTGATTAGAGACCGCAAAGACATTAGTGACATGGCCGTCCCTGCAGACTGCAATGTATCTTTGAAGATCTTCAAAAAGCTATCAAAATACAAAGAACTCGATATTGAAATCTCAAAAATGTAGCGCTTGAGGATATTAACAAGTTATAGTTGGAGCCATCGGATTGATTGGAAAAGATTCCAATCGACTCACTGAAGGGATTCCTGGTAGCCCATGCCTTAAAGAAATACAAAAAAATGTACTCACGAGTACAGCCCACACCTTACGAAGGGCTTTATCTGTGTAAAATTTGTGCGAAGTTTTTTTCAAAATTGCTCAGTGGAAAATGTCATGTGGCCATTTCTGACCGTAGGTCACTGGCGGGGACCCGGGAATAAATGAGTAAAGAAATAAATCAACAACAACAACAACAACAACAATAATAATAATAATAATAATAATAATAATAATAATATATAAGCTATATGTTCAATTTTCATTATTTTTTTGTCAGTCGTTATGTTTTTGGAAATGTAGTGTATTAGAATGACCAAAGATGCCTTCCAAAAGCTAAGCAAAGCATTAAAAAACAGGAAAATGCCGTTAGAATCAAAGAAAAAAGTGCTGACCTGCTATGTATTATAAACCTTCCGATATGACAATGAACAGAATACTTAGGTGTGGTGTAATGGTTAACGAGCTTGTCTCGCCATATCAATTACTAGTGAGTTCGATATTCACTGGGTGCCCCATACTTTCGGTCTTGTGCCATATCTATATGAAAGTGAGACAATTTCCACGCAGATAAAGAGACTTGAGGCAACAGAAATATGGTTCTACAGAAGGATACTGAGAATACCTCGAGCTCAGCATGTGAGTAACGAGGAAGTTTTAGAGAAAATGGTAGCAGAAAGGACACTTTATTTTTTAAATCAGAAAGCGACGGTGGACACG